TTCATATTGTACTGTATGGAGGTGGAAGGGATGGTGATGAATCTGCAGAGGGATCTGAAAAATGGCTCTGCTGCATGAAGGATTTCTTACCTGGGAGTATTCTCTTTTTCAAATGCAGGATACATTCCCAAGTGTTACCTATTTATTAAAATCTCTTGAGCAGGATTTAGTTTTTGGTGGCTTAATATGTAATATAATTCAAATGTAGTTATTCAGAGTGACAGTGGAAACCAGAAGAAAATTCAGTATTGGGAAGAATTCTGGACTTTTGAGACAACGGGAAGAAACAATCATGTTCTTTTTGACTAATGCATGTCACAGCTATAAGAACTGTAAGATATTTCACTTTTCATTAACACACATGCCATATGTCATTATAAGAAGTACTGTGAGTAGTGAAATACTATAACGAAAATAAGTATCTCATCCTTTTGGCTCGTTGTAACACTAAGGACTTGTGATGCTGTGATGCTCAATGTGCAGGATGCATGTTAGGAAATGCCTCCTATTTCTACAGTCCTAAATTCACCCATATGCAGAGACATGAGGAAAGCATCAGTTAATTCCCACTTAAAAAATGGGTAGACTGCTTATCAATTCTCAGTACAGGCTGAAATCCCCTTGACACCATGCTAGGTATGAAATTTTGACTCTAATTTCAGCTAAACCTTAAATTCTGCTTAACATGAAGAGTACAGTTCAGGAACACAGGGGATCTGGATTTTTGTCCTACTCAGTATCTCACCTTAATGTGTGTTTCAGCTCCTTTCACTTGAAGAGATCTTGCTTAAGCCTAATCATATGCAATATTGAGTAAGAATGGCTCAGTAAATCTGGGCGAAAAGGCTCATCTAACACTAAAATGAAGGCTGTGCAGAAATCCATTAGGACAACATTGAGAAGACCCATGCAGGATTAGAGTCAAATTTAAAATTATGATGCACATTGCAGTCTTAGTAACAAAAGGAAATAGGGATGTATTAAATACAGATCTGATTTAAGAGATCAAAGAGATGTGAATCTCATAGCCAGATACCCATGCACAGAGCCTCTGAAGCCAGTGCAGCTGGACATAATTATTTGTGTTGCCCTTATCAAGCTCTGACAGATATTTGTACCTCAAAAGGTTCATTACTGACTGAGAGATCTGAATCATAATTCCTTATGCAAGACAAAGTGCCTGGCACACTAAAGGCTAGAGCATAACACTGGCAATAGGCAAGACAGAAAAAACGTGCAAGGTTGCAAATGAGAGGCTGGGTTCTGTACAGCCCCTAAACTGCAAACAAAAAAACTGCTATTCATAGCAGGTGTCTGTGAAGCTGCCTCAAAATGCAGCCTCTAGATTCTGTGCTGCTCTTTGCCTGGCCAGCCTCCATGCAGTGGTTTGGAGAGGTGTAAAAGCCACTTGCAAATTAGCTGAGAACACTGCTCAGAGCCTCAGAAGAGACAGCTGGAGGTTGCCAAGCACAGGCACACCACAGCCACACATGCGATTGTCCACCCATGTTCACTCTTCTCCCTGATACTTTCATACCCAGGAAGGGGACTTAGTGACACATGAACCTCTTGCATGAACCTGGTATAAGATGGAGCCCAAATAGCAGTGAAACGCTAAGAACTGACAGTATGCCTCTGTCAATTTTGTCTTATTTGTAAGAAGCCTGAATCACTATAAAGAGAAACTGATAGACTGATTTTTACTCACAAATGTATGACAGCAGTTACTTTCCAATGCTGGCACAGCAAAATATTAGAAGAAAGTCATAGCAAAATAATAAACATTCAAAAAGCAACAGCTAAATACAATTCATAACTGCTAGGCAAAGCTACAGCAATGCTCTTAGACCAGTACCTTATTTTACACTGAGATTACATAGACAAGTTAAAAAGTATTTTGAATTTAGACTTTCATAATTACATCATAATTACAGTGTCCTGGATAACAAAGTAAGAGTTTGTAAGATAAGTATCGTATTCATCTGAATAGAAATACTTCTTTTATCTGACACAGCCAGTTGGGTTTGCCCTTGCAGGTATAGATTTATTGTTTGACGGAAAAAACTCTTTTTTTTTAATGTATGTAAATGCAACTGATCCTAAGGGAAAAAACAATTATAAATCATCAGTAAAAATATACTGCATTGCCCCTTAAAGCTGCACCATTTTTGATGCACATTATGAACATACTTCATGCTGGTTTGACCAGTATGCTTCTTACAGTGTATGTTAGTGTGAAATGTATTAATAGGTGTGGAGTCCTCTGCAGTCTCTTCTCTCCATCTGGAATAAATTCTGTCTATTAAAATACTGGGGTTGAATCCCATGAAATGAGTTGATTCTATTTCCCCACAGTTTGAACTTAGTCTGCTTTGTTACAGAAGCTTTACAAGGTTGTCTTGTTTAGGTCGAGAGATGAATGTTATATTATACTAATATTTGCCAACCAAAGCCCAAATTCAAACACTTGGTTTTCCAGAGGTTTTTGTTTAGCAAGATGATGACATTTACCAACAAGTAAGTCCCTCGCTGAGTTATTCTATACCTGCCTATTGCAAGGCTTCTATAACTTCCTCTGCACCAGCAGCGTACTAGGCTAGCCAGTCACTGCTCTGAGCTACAAGCACAAAACCTCTTACAGAGGAAACCTCAAAAAGACAATACAAGTCTGGGTATTCAAGTTCTCTCTCTGCAGGTGAGAAGAACTGAAAAGTGCAAGCTGCACAGCTGAAATCTGGTAGTGTCAGAGCTCAGCCCTGAATCTGTAGCTCTATCCCTAAGGACTGCTGATGGAAACTTGAGTGCAAATGTGGGTACATTTGCCTGAACAATGACTAAGCATGTTAAGTGTGAGAATACTAAATAAGGGGTCAGATAGGAATTGCTTCAGTGAAGCCACAGTGATTGGTGTTACCTGAGGAGCTGGTGGCAAATGTTTGCACATGATGTACATTTCTGTGTGTGCACAGGGACCAACCTGTCTAACAGCAGCCATCACAACTGATCCTTTAAGACTACAAGGAATTACGGTGTCCTTTCACTGTACAAATGACATGACTTAAACACCTCCTCAGGTAAAAGTCCACTTTTCCAAAGGGCTCTGAAAATGAATAGAAGAAGTGGTATTTGTAATTATGGTTCAATAGGACTGGCACAGCTCACAAACCCTGGGAAACACAGGACAACTATTTTAGTGTTTTGGGGAAAACTGATTTTCACTGATATGATCGGAAAGCACTACTTAGGGCGAATAACAGCCTTACCATTTTGAAAAATCAGAATTCTGATATAAAATATGTCACGTTAGTATTTTTCCCACTTTATCTCCTTGTTTCAACATTAAAATGGAAGTATTTTGTAGAAAACCTAGCTGCTACCACTTCAGAGACACTGCTTGTGCAGCTTTGTGTCTGTAAATACAATCTAAGAGCCTAAATTAAAAACAACACTCAAGCCCCACCTTTGCAAACGTAATTAAAACATAGACATGTTCACTAATACTATCTGAAAACATGCAGGTGTCACGAATCTTTGCTCACTTACTGTATGCTTGCTCTGTATTACTGCCACTTCCTATATAATGATGTCCAGTAGTAATACTGGCACATGGCACCTTCTCTGAGTCAGGCTTTTATGATCAAAGTTGCCAATACGATGCCTGAGGTTGATTAGTAAGATACAGGGTTCCTCTTTTGAGTTATGTCAGTGGCTGTATAACTCTAAATATGAAAGAGATGTTTTACAAAAAAAATCAAAGGCAAGTGTTTTACATTACATCTTATAAAACTGTACATAATAAAAGTCTACAACATGAAAACAGCCATTAAAATGTTGTAATAGTTATGAAATGTAGTAAATAGAACAATTCTAATGTTTCATGTATTTATCATTAATTATTGTGTTCATACAGTGGTGTTTGCTGTATATATATATATTCAATGGCACTGTAAACAGGTGTTGGAAAATACACATTTAACCCATTAGAAGTTATTATAGTGCTTTTTAATCTGAAAAGTCAAAACGCATTAATGCATCACTGATTTAAAAAAATAGCCTTGTAATGCGATGCCATTTTGACATTTTCTAGAGTAGCAATCAAGATGAAGCGTAACAATGCCAGATTTCAGATTGGTTTACATTTACACCTACCATGGCACAAAATTTTAAACATTGAATGTCATTAAATAATACACAGTTTATAAACCAGTTGATTTCAGAGATGCACAATGCACAGAAGTCCAGTTACTGTCTAATGGGAGTTCCAATAATTTATATCTCTGGGACCTTCATGAGAAATTGAAGTTGATTTCTCTTTAACATCACATAGGCAAAGTGAGTTTGCACTAAATTCTCTCTTTCTTAATCTGTACAGAGCTGCATTCAGCTGGATAAAACATGGTTATTCACATTTCCCTTGCTGCTGGACATTCATCCAATAAGCTGCTGGACATTCATCCAATAAGCCTTGACCATATGCTTACGCATCTGGTAATGGCATTTTGTGGGGCTAGGAAACTCTCTATCCCGCAGTAAACAAAGTGGTTTGATTTTTTCTATAGTTAAGGCCACTATACTGATAAATTAGACACACCATATGCTCTTATGTTGCTGCCTACAGTCTAAACTGTAAGAGTGAAAGGAAGTTTCAAACATGCTTTTTGATCTTCTTGACCACTCAGGAATATCATCAAGCTGGTGGAGAGCAAGTACTTCACTTTAACATGGTTTACAATGGTAGACATAGCTTTTTTGTTGTTCACTAGAAAAGTAATGTATTGGCTTGAATGTGAAGACTGACCATTCACATAATTTATCAGAAAAAAATAAACGAACAAAGCCAGCCAGTCAGATTGCAGCAAACGAAACTGAGAAAAACAGTAACACATGTACACAATTTCTGTGTTTTCAATTATTCCCTTGGTATTTCCATCACTGCCTCTGTATTGTGGTGGGCTTTGTCAAAGCCTATCTTCAGACATTGTAGGTCATGACACCTGGTATCTGCCAACTCCAGCATATTGTTTAATATTTATTCTAACATATCACATAAACTAGAGAGCCATTTAAATTCCTTTTCTCTTGGGTAAGGCTGTAGGTATAAACGACAGTGAGGAGGAAAGGCTTGTGCAGTGGCTGCAAGGCAATGCAGCTACAGTGGATGATGCCACAGAACTGCTAGTGCTGTTAAAATAACAAGTGAGGAACTCAGGGCTGGATTGCTCCCATTTCCAGTTACACTGTGTTTAGAGGATGACTTGACAGTGCTTGTGGTAGTTGTGGTGTCAATCTTTTTCACAGTTGGTTTTGGTTCGTTTCTGTTTTCTGGATGGGTTTTCTTGTCCTTGAGTATATCTGAAAACATGAAAGTAAATGGAAGATTAATCATACATCTTTTAAAGATTTTAAGTTTAAGGCTTTGAGTTCTGTCTGTTGTGGGAACATGTTATACAGTAGTCTGCGTAACTGAACTGAACATATAGAGAGTGATGCGGCACTTTTATTAATGTTTCACTTGGACCCAGTCTGTCCCCTCAGCACCCTGTTCTGCTCAACAGTCTTCTCTGACTGCCCTGCTCTACCTCTCTACATCTAGATGCAGCCTGAGCAGAATAACAGGTATTCTGCATTGCAGTGGCTGGTCTCTCACAAAAAGTACCTTCAGTTTCACCTGGGATGGGAACTAACTCATGCTTTAAAACGTGATGTTAGGATTGAGTGCTTCTGTAATATGCCCCAGTGAAACACCCAGCAAGTTGCTGAGTTGCTGCAGGAGACCAGAGAGCACACTGACTTAATGTTAACAGTCAACATCCCAGCTTCCTTCTGCTTTGCCCCTACCCTTAACCTAACATTCGCAAAAAAGTGGCTACAAAGAGAAAATGCTTTGGATTTTGTTTTGTTGTTTTTCCCAGCAAATACAAGTATTTTTTGTTTTCAAAGTATGGAACAATATCACCGGGGCTTTTTTCTCCCTACAGATGCATTTTCGGGCAATACTGGGCATCTTTCACATAAAAGATGAAAGTAGTAGTAGTCCTTTATTGCAAAACCATGGATTTTTTTTAAATGAGAAAATGACTGATAAAAGTCGCCAGTTATCTTGCTGTTCCCAAGCTATTTGCAAGTAATACCAAGGTCATATTGTTCTCTCATTGGCATTGTGTGTGTATGTGAAATAAACCCACCATTTCATCTGATGATGATTGTACAGCCACTCTGTAAAAGCATACCCAAATGCCAGGCAAAACCCTCAAATTCCTACCTAGAAGAATTTATAAGTTAACAATAATTGTTCAGGTCCAAGCTTAAAGGATTTGTGATACTATTGAACGCAATGCACATACACCAGAAAGCAAAAGGCGTGGATTTGTAATGCAGATTAAACAACAGTCCAATCTTAAAATAAAAACTTTGAATCACAGAAGCAAGTTCCTGGCAGAAATGGGAAAGATGAAAAGTATTCCAGAAATGTAAATGCTATCTGAGATCATTGTCAGCATGTCAGTAGCTCTGAACAACCATCAATAAACTCACTTGATAATAAAAATGAGTTACTGTATTGGGAAAGCACACATTGTTCTTTTGCCAGTGTAAGCTATAAAAGAAAGACAATGAATTCTTTATTTTATCATAATATCAACATTAATCCCAGAGGAACCTGGAATTCCTAGACCTGACTCCAGGGTGACTGCAGAGAAGGGACTGGCAAGGTGATTAGTGGGACAGAGGTAGTCAGACACTGCGCTTAAAATTCATGATGGCAAACTGTGGACATAGCTCCTCTCCAACTTGCAATGGAGCTAATGGAAAGGAGGGCGAAAAAGCATACTCTAAATGTTTAGAAAATATCAGTATTCTGAGGACACTTAAAGAAAAATGGACAACCTTCAGACTGTCATTAAAGTAAATTAAGAATAAATCATGGAAATAGGTATGTTCTGACACTGCTGAGACTCCTTTCCATCACTGTCATTCTCCTTTCCCACTGCGGTAAAGGCATTATTTCTCTGCTGCCTCTTATATCATCCCAGCCTGCTGACTTCAGCTCTCTGGGGCCAGCTGATTAAATTAAGACCTCACTCAGGTAAATCTATTCCCCTCTTTCAGCTGGCCATGTCCAGCATTGTAACTTGATTGGCATCTATAAATCGGGCAGGCTGAAATGTATTAATTCATTTATTTTCTTAATATTGACTTAACCAAAAATCTAAGGTAAGAGATAATGCTATCAGAGAGGCTGCTGCTGGTTTTTGAAAGCTTTCCTCTCAGTGACTGCTTAATGCCCTACATAACAGGTGTTAAATAATACATTAGAAAACTCTGCCTTTATCCTTTCCACGGGAAGGACTACATTTGGAATCCTCTTTCTGCCTTCACAGCACAGTATCTTCTGGTGGTATTAATGGCCAATTCTAACTTGGGATTTAATTGAGCAAAACTAGCATTTTATTTAAAATGGTCTGTTTTCTCTCTTCTTGAAAATAAATGAGAATACCCTCAGTCCTAATTCAGACCTTTTTCAATCCTGTATTTAGTTTTTAAAACACAAATTTCATCAGTGTAAAGATTTCAGTCTTTCTTACTCACTGGAGGGTTTTGCTTACTCACTCCAGGGTTTTGGCTGAGAGACTCCAAGTTAAATGAGTTTTTCCTCTTAAATCTTTGCCTCAGAGGTACCTATGTTCAGTCTACTACTGACATTCAAAAGGAAGAAAAACAGCAAGCATGCTGAAAGAAAAAGAAGTGTCAATGTGAAGACTAGCACTGAAAAGAAACTCCAGTGTCAACAAAGCAAACCACAGATGTTCAATACCCATGAATCAAGCCCCAGTGTATGACTTCACAAAACCAAACAAACCAACCCCACAACTTTGGTTTGTTATAGTATGTACCTTCTGTATTTTAAAGGCTTTATGGTTCCCAATTAAAAGCTTTTTCCATCACTAGAAACTTTCTTCCCATCATCAGTCATTCTCTCTTTTCCAGAAATCACAGACTTGCAGAATGGCTGGGGCTGGGAGGGACCTTAAAGCTCATCCAGCTCCAACACAGTAATGCATGTGCCACTCAAACAACACTGAACTTCTGAAATACCTACATGGATCAATGCTATTCCTCAGAGAGACTAGGTTAGGATAAACAGGAGTGTCAAAACTGTCACTGTCATCTAATTTGGGAACAGGAAACCCTCAAGTGAGGGCTGAGTGTATGCCTTTCAAACACATCTGGCAAGTGAAACACTGAAGCACACCTCAATCTTAGTCAGGAATGATACAGGGGTAAAAAATGCCATTATTATCTTTCTAGTTTATGACCAGGTTATCTGACACAAGTTCAAGTCTTATTAGCACCCCAGCTGGTCACGCCACCTCCTTAGGCTAAATGACTTGCAGTTTTCTACTGACAGGAACTACCAAAGATGTAACTTTGGTGTACTCGCATGCTATTGTTCTCTAATGAGCAGTATCGGCAAGGTCTGCCTAAAATGTCTGTTGAGGTTTCCTATGGTCCTGCCAAGGGATGAACAAGTTCATCTTACTTGACACAAACACCTTTCCATTTTGGTCCTTTTCTTGACTTTACTTGAGCTCAGTCCTTTCTCAGTGAATGAAAATGATGAGGGTGATACAAAGTCTTTGCCTGCAGAGACTTGCCACTGAGACCTTCTCATCTCACTGAATCAAGCTCAGCACTGTCTCCATTCAGCTGAAGGGTAAATGCAAGGACTCCCTAGACAGGCTGCTGCTGCTGCCAACAGGGGAAGAGAAAGTATTGTTGAAGCAAAGGAAAAGGCAGGAAGGGAAGGGTGGTTGAATGGGCTGATCTCCCACTGAGGGAAGCTGGACTACTTTTGGGGAAGCCTGTGTTTGAGATGGCCCACTGCCTTCCAGAATAAGGGGAGATTGTTTATTTCTGCTTTCCCACATTAATTACATGAAGCTTGGGGGTTGGAACTAGGTGATCTTTAAAGTCTGTTCCAATCTAAACCATTCCAGGGTTCTATGAAGTCAGACCTGTCCATTTCTTCCTAGACGTTCATGCAAACACTGTGCTTGGAAAAGACAGAATGTCAGCATCTACTATAGCAAACAAATGCCTCACCATGGTTGTCATGATCCTCACAATCGAGGTCTAAAGCAAACTGGTCAGTACTTGCATTTACTCTCCACACTGCACCTCAGTTGCTTGATAAATTTTGCTGTGATCACAGGCATGGTTTTAGCTGACAGCTACATAAGAAAATTAAAACGAGGTGCAACTTTGTGGAACAGGCTCTTAAATTACAGTAGATGCTGCAGTGTTATTATTAGCTTTTTATCACCTCTGGTAGCAAAAGCTGAAATTACTTTTACATATTCAAAGGAAGGAGCTCTGAAATTGCAAAACAATGTTGTCACCATAAAATGTACCAACCATTTCCAAATAATCTATTATCCTGACGTTAAAGCCAGCACTAATTATTTCCAGTTACAGCTACAGCAGACAAATGGGAACAGGAATGCTGTGGAAAAGGGAACGTGAGAACTCCCAAACTGTGGTAACTCAAGATGCAATTCTCCAAATTCTGGAGCCAGTTATTGTCCGTTACATAATACTGATCAGTAAAAGGCAGGTGTAATAAATCCCTTTTGGAGCCAGAAGAAGGGAGCAACGGCCCTGCAGTCTCCCATGTATGTACTGTTCTACCCCTTTCTATTTCAGCCTGAGAATATGGTGTTCATCTAAGCCTTTTCCCCATGCACCTTCTTATGGGAACTTGGCCTTAGGGAGAAGAAACCTTTAACCAGACAAAGGAAGGACTACAGAGTTAAGTCTGAGTTGAACAGGTCACTTAACTACTGAGCTGCATTAGGCCAGTCTTCACAAAAAATCCAGGACAAGATTATGAGGGTTAACTGATGTGTTCCACCTTGGTTCTGCAATCTTTCAATGTATTTTCTTAAGGACTGTGTGACTGAAGTTGGCCTTGGGGGATATGCAGAAACTGGGACTAGGATCATCTATGTCCACTTTCTAATTCTGCTCTAAACTCTGTGTGATCTTTGTCAGATCACTTCTCCCTGCAGGCCAGCAAGGGAACTACTCTATTTCCCACACACTTTGCACATCCTGGGTGTAAATTCTTCAGGCTGCGAACCACCATATCTGCTCTCTCCTCAAGAAATAACATTGGCTGGAGCTTACAGGAACTACTGTTATTAAAAGAACAGTCAAATGCAACAAAGAGAAAAATGCAATAAAGTCAGGAGCAACTGTGAGACAGGCTGAGATGTCGGGCACCTGGAAGCCACGCTTTCATGAAATGGCAGCTCCTTCCCACATTCCCAAACAATCTTTTTGTCTATATACAT